TGAGCAAGTTTCTCATTAATCAAAAAGCTATTTTGATTAAACTGATTTGCAATTTACTTTCTTGTCATTATACAGTCTTGTCATTATATAGTCTTGAGTAAGAAGAAATCATGTCATCTTTTAACCAAAAAATAAGATTTCAATGTTATCTTTAGAGAAATAGATAAAGAAATAAATAGATCCTTTTTACTAATCAAAATAAAATACAACTAAAATCATATATGGACCAAAATACAATAGTCATGTATATCGATACCATAATACTTGAATAATTGTTGACAAAAGTTTCGCTTAAGTAGGACAGTTGCTGAAGGTAATTGATTTATCTTACGTTTTCACCTCAACCCAATTTGTAATTGCTTCAAAATAACAAAACTTAGTGCTATAACCGGATCAAGATCAAAAACAAAATTTGGCTTTCGATAATAATACAAATAGTTATCCCACACAATACTTAATTTATATAAGTTCTTTCATAGAGAAACATCAACTACAAAACGCAAAATCAACACATCAATTCATGCAAATTCACAGTCCACGATCGCCGCCGTGGCTCATCTCCTTGCATCCGTCACCGGACTTGCCCGAGTACCTCCGCCCCTCGTACCTAATGGGGTGTCATCCACGTCCACCGCTGCCAGCAACCCTGTTCCCAACGGCGAGATATCCTCCACTTCCACCTCCATCACCTCCACCGTATTATCTCCACCATGTTCTTTCAGGTTCATCGACTCCATTCGCTTCCTTGCATCCTCCTTGGTTCGATTATCAAACATTTCCTACCCAAATAAATCATAAATATCATTTCTCTACGGATTTCATTTTAGTAAATGTTGGGTATTATATAATACATTATCAATTCAGTTTACTACACACGACAAAAACGAAAAATTGATTTAATTTTATCACATCCGACTGACCTTTGTGGCGCCACTGGTTTCAGAAAGCTTCCCTTTGGTTTCCTCTTTCTTTCCAGTCAATAAATCCATGGCTTTCCTGGCAGCTTCAGCGGCGGCGTCTTTCAACTCCGTCGCCTTCCCCACAGTTACATTCTTCCCTTCTGTTGCCTTCTCCGCTGTGTAGTCTCGAGTAGCCGCCGCCTTGTCAAGGGTGTAGTCCTTGGTTGCCGCAGCTTTGTCGACGGTGTAATCCTTGGTAGCTGCCGCCGTATCGACGGTGTAATCCTTAGCTTCAGCAGCTTTTTGAGCAGCATAATCTTTGTACTCCCCCATTTTATCCACGGTTGCATCCTTGGCTGCTTTTGCCTTCTCCGCCGTGTAGTCTCGAGTGGCCGCCGCTTTGTCAAGGGTGTAGTCTTTGGTGGCTGCCGCCCTGTCGACGGTGTAATCCTTGGTGGCTGCCGCCGTATCAACGGTGTAATCCTTGGCCTCAACTGCTTTTTGAGCAGCATAATCTTTGTACTCCCCCATTTTATCCACCGTCGCGTCCTTGGCTGCTTTTGCTTTCTCCGCCGTGTAATCTTTGGCAGCAACCGCCTTATCGACTGTATAATCCTTCGCTGCCACCGCCTTGTCCACTGTGTAATCTTTAGCGGCTATAGCTTTATCAGCAGTGTAATCGGCAGCCTCCTTTGTTTTCTGTGCAGTATAGTCCTTGTACTCTCCTAGTTTCTCCATAGTCGTGTCTTTAGCTTCTTTCGCCTTCTCCGCCGTGACATCCGCCGTCTCCTTCGTTTTCTGTGCAGTGTAGTCTTTGTATTCTACGCCCTTGTTAGCCGCTTCCCTCCCCTTCTGTGCTGCGTAATCCTTGTACTCTCCTGTCTTCTCCATTGTCGTGTCTTTGGCTTCCTTTGCCTTCTGCGCTGCATAGTCCTTATACTCTCCGGCTTTGTCCATTGTTGTATCCTTAGCTTCCCTCGTCTTCTGTGCTGCGTAGTCTTTGTATTCTCCTCCCTTATCGGCGACTTGTCTTCCCTTCTCCGCCGCATAATCCTTGTATTCTCCAGCCTTTTCCATTGTTACATCCTTACCTTCTTTCGCCTTCTCTGCTGTAGCATCCGCAGCTTCCTTAGCTTTCTGCGCTGCGTAGTCTTTGTACTCTCCCGTCTTATCAGCGATCTGTCTTCCCTTCTCCATTGTTGCATCCTTGCCTGTTTTTGCCTTCTCTGCTGTAACATCCGCAGCTTCCTTTGTTCTCTGTGCTGTATAGTCTTTGTATTCTCCAGCCTTCTCTTTTGTCTCCTCTCCGATCCGTTTCCCTCTCTCAGCAGCTTCCCCACTAACCTCCGCTGTCTTCTCCGTCGCGTCATGGGTTTTCCCGGTGAAAGCATCCTTAGCCTGGCCTAAGGTACCAGTGACGGTTTGAATTATACTGCTAACAATACCAGGTCGACCTTCATCAGTTTGTATCTGTTCACGGCGTTCGACTACTACAACATCGCCGCCGCCACCTATCTGTCTCTGACGATTGACGTCCCTTAGCTCGTCGGCGGCAGCCCTTGCAGCGGTCTCCGCCTTCTGTTCCTTGCTCCTAACTTCTTGATGTGATGCCATTGGATTATCTAGTGTAAAATGCAAACGAAACTTTAATGTAAGTTGGATGAAATGATTACTGGGTGATGAAATTTGTGGTTCGTGAGTAGAACGTGAATGGATTTATAAGAAGGCCTGGCTAAGCGATAGAAACTTATTGGTGATGTAAGCTATGGTTGCTTGACACGTAGCATGGAGGGGACACGTGGATGCATACCAAATGAAGTGGCAACTGCAGAAGATATATCTAGTAAATATCATTGGTTATGGATGTGATCAAATTGTGGGTCGGTGTGTTTGACGAATATGATAAGTCTAAAAGGTCGTGTTGGGTGACATAAGCATTTTCTTTTCCTTTTGTTACTAGAATGGTCCTGTGACTTGGGTAGTTTTTGGTGTTTAATTTTTTTTATTTAAATGGGAAGTTTCTTATTGTGTTTGTCAGTCGGTTCTTACTAGACTTAAAAAAAGGTATAGTGTATTTTTTGTATTTTTTTAATTAATTTATTGTTTATCAAAGTAAAAAATATACCTCTTAAAGTTATATTATAACCACCAAACCTTATACCTTTATTTTTTATTATATTATTGGTGAGAGTGTAGGCCATTTCCTCTTTTCTTTGTTGTTTCTCTCTTTATACTCATCGGAAACACGCATCCTCTCCTTCCTTTTCTACCATCCGCAACCATCTACGACCCATTTTACGTCCATATATGTAACCCTCTCGTCAGAAAAGTGCACAAATGCTAAGGTTTAGTTGCCGAAAAATGTAAAAAGTTAAAATTAGGTGGTGACCAACAAGAAGAAAACGAGCGTCGGCTAGGGTTTTAGCAGCCGAAACATTGCTATCATCGGGACGTTATCTTAAATCGGAACCATACGCTCTACCCATATGCTTTAGAAAGGTTCATTGTCTAAAATTATGAATAAAACGTTGCTCGATTTTAATCATTATTTATGAATTGCATTTAGGTTTTTTAACAAGGTCTATCTTGATTTTTTTTTTACAACAATTGTATGTGGTTTTTTTAGGGGGGAGGACATGTGGGAGAAGACGAATGAGATGGTGGTAGTTTGTCAGATGTGAAGTAGTTATTACTAGAAAAACAACATTTTACAACGTGCAATGCGTGTCGTAAAACGCTCAGACGACGCGCAAATGCATGTCAAGGAAGGATCTGTCATAACGAGAGACGACACACTTTTGCGCGTCGTCTATAGACGACGCACATTTATGACATGCATTTACGACACACAATGTGTATTGTGACATCACCATTTTCACGGTCAGAAAAGACCGATTTTGTTTATGTTTTATAAAAATCAGAGTACTTTCTTTTCATAAAAATATTGTGGAATTTGTTCCCAGAAAAATACGATAAATACGTTATCAAAACATTTTCGAAGAAACGTATTCTATTCATTTTAAAACGTTTGTGATGTCATTGTCAATACAGGAACATAAGCATAAACGGAACTTATATTTATTTACACTAGTGATCTACATCTCTTTAATCTCTCAGTGTAATGTCACTTCATATCGACATCTGTGATATAAATAAACTGAGTGGGTCAGGTTGGGAAATCTGGTGAGTACATACGGTTTTCAATCCACAATAATATAATTATTATGTTTAATCATCAAACAGTTAACCCAATTACCCATCCCCCATTATCTTCTTTATTCTTAAGGATCTACCCTAAGAATCAGCTATTTCTTGTTCATTCATTCCTAAGGAGTATCCTAAGGAATAGGTACGAATTCCATCGTTGTAAATGACACATCTGTCAAGCACAACTACTAGTTCTGCCACTTAGGCGCAGCTGCCAAAATTATGACATTCTCTAAGGGGCGCATCTACCGGAATAGTCATTTAGGTGCATCTGCCGGGGTTATGAGGATCTCTATTAGGCGCTTCTGCCGGTAGAGTCCTTTAGGCGCATATGTTGGGTTTTATTGACAGTATCGTTTTTTGAGAGTCCACTCGCAATACATATCAATGGGTTTTTTTTAGAGTACACCGGTGAACACGTCGTTCACAACACCTACAGGTTGTGAGCCTGCTAGTGTTCCACTGGACTGTCTAGAATAGTCCGTGGTTGTCATCCATACTCTGCTGAATGACGGGGTCATCATTTGGGAAAAAGGCTTCTCACATCGTCCACCTCTCACCCTCACCTCACGGTCTATTTCACCTCTCAACTCATCATCCAACTAATATTTCATCTATTACATCTACCCATGTCTTATCCCAACATTTTCGTAGATATAAAATACATATACAGTTTAAATCATTTAAAACGTGTATAAAATCGTTCACCCAGCATAGATAGCAAGTATTCGGATAATATGCACACATAGCACGTAATTTATATAAAATATTTCATATCTATGTGTAAGCTGAAAGTAACTATGCACTCACCTGAATGGTGGTGACTCAGCACTCGGACAGCGCTTCGATACTCTCAAAACAACTTTCCTTCGATAAAACCTAGTACCAATACCACTAGGGTTTAGTCTAACGATAACCGTGACAAATTAATAGTCTGACTATTATTATTATTATATAAGCGTTAAATAACACTCAATATAACTCATAATAATAGCCCAAATAATTATTTTAAGTACCTAATAACATTACTATAATTATTTGAAAGCTATATTAAAAGTTGCGTACTACTGAAAGCAGAGGATCCGTACCCGAACTAAGGAAGGCCGAGATAAGGCCAGAGAACTTGTAGTGGATGTGGTTCCTCAAGAGGTATCATTATTGCTAATAGTCATTGTATATATATATTGCAGAATGGTGGTACTACGATCAAGGCCAGCAGTTGGCAGTTCAGGAGAGGGATCAGGTTCGGGATCACGTTCTGAGCTAGGGGATGAGAGGCTACGCGAGTTCATCGCGTCAGAGATCACCAGGGGCATCCTTGAGTCGACTCCCATTATCTTCGAGTCGATCAAGGAAGGGATATTTGAGTTGATGGAGGATTGCCTCAGGGCATTCAGGAGCGACATGGCATCTGGCCAGTCGGGATCTCGCACACTATCCTTTAAGGACTTCAGGGGTAGTGGTGCGCCAGATTTTCACGGAGCGAAGGACCCCATAGCTGTCAGGCGGTGGATTGTAGATATCGAGTCTGCATAGTTGATTAGCTTCTGCCCCGAGGGGTCGAAGGTGAGATATGCAGCAGGGTGTTTGAGAGGCAGAGTTAGAGACTAGTGGGAGTCTGTTGGTGACTCATTGGGAGCCTCGGTTGTCGAGACTATGACCTGGTCGGACTTTGTGACCAGGTTCAAGGCAGAGTTTGCACCGGCTGTCAAGCTTCAGCAGCTGGTCAGGGAGTTTTTAGATATAAGGCAGATGACGGAGACTGTGGTGGAGATCACCGCCAAGTTCCGGGATAGGGCGTTGTTAGTGCCCCAGTATGCAGGTCATGAGGATATGAGGCGGACCCGCTACCACGACATGCTATGAGCTGACATCCGGGAGCATGTTAGTTTTTCAGCTTGCCCTACCCTAGATTCCATGATTGCCAGGGCTAGGGAAAGGGAGATTGATCTGGAGCATATCCGGAAGAGGAAGGTAGAAGAGGTACAGGTTGCAAGGGCTTCGGAGAAGAAGCCCAAGGGATCAGATGCTGGGCCGAAAGGCCGGTCAGGATCGGGCCGCTGCAGGAAATGCGGCAGGCCACATGAGGGGGCATGTAGACTGGGATCGTCGGTCTGCTACAAGTGGGGCAAGACGGGGCATTTCAGCAGGGATTATACTGCCCCTGCACCGGTTATTCAGACGTCTGAGTTGTTGTGCTTCCACTGCAACCAGAGGGGGCACAAGAAGGTCAATTGCCCCCAGTTGACAGCAGCATCAGTGCCAGTGAAGGCACCAACTCCAACGACCCTGTGGATCACTGATGGCCGGCAGGGCAAGGCAGAGGCTCCAGTGGTGAGGAGTCGGGCATTCCAGTTGACTACCGAGGAGGCACGCGCCGCACCCGATGTGGTGACTGGATCGTTCCATGTGAACGGTATCCCAGTTCAGGTGTTGTTCGATTCGGGGGCTACCCAATCATTTGTTTCTCTTGCACTTAGTAAGAAGTTTTCTGAGTCTTCGGGCAGGTTGGATTGTCTTTTAGAGGTGGAGATTTCCGACGATCGATCGGTGCGAGCATCAGAGGTTTTCCGGGATTGTGTATTGAGATTATTTGAGGAGCGTTATCTGGTGGATCTGGTTCCCATACCTTTGCGAAGGAACAAGGTTATTATTGGTATGGATTGGTTAAGCCCCCATGGGGCAGTGATAGACTGCGCATAGCGGCTAGTGCGAGTCAGAGCCCCAAGTAGGGTAGAGTTGGTGATTCAGGGCGAGAGACAACAGCGAGGGCCAACCTTATGTTCGGCAGCGAGGTCAAGGCGCTACCTCCAGCAGGGTTGCGCAGGTTATATCGCGTATGTTGCGGATGCCCGGGAGGCAAGTAGAGCGACGGTGGACGAGGTGCCCATAGTACGAGAGTTCACGGATGTATTCCCCGAGGAGTTGTCTGCGATACCTCCAGAGCGTCAGGTGGAGTTCAGGATCGACCTAGTCCTTGGTGCGACTCCCATAGCTAAGGCACCCTATCGGTTGGCTCCTCCCGAGATGCAGGAGTTTTCTACGCAGGTGCAGGAGCTGCTAGACAAGAGATTTACCAGGCCGAGCAGTTCACCCTGGGGAGCCCCAATTTTGTTTGTGAAGAAGAAGGACGAGTCGCATCGGATGTGTATAGAATATCGGGATCTGAACAAGGTAACGGTGAAGAACCGTTACCCACTCCCGAGGATTGATGATCTCTTTGACCAGTTGCAGGGAGCATCTTGGTTCTCCTAGATCGATTTGCATTCAGGTTATCATCATATGAGGGTCAGAGAGGGGGATGTGCAGAAGACCGTGTTTCAGACGCGCTATGGACATTATGAGTTCGTGGTGATGCCGTTTGGGCTCACCCATGCTCCTACCGCGTTCATGGATCTTATGAACCGCGTGTGCAGACCGATGCTGGATCGGTCTGTGATAGTTTTCATTGATGACATCTTGGTTTATTC